CTTCCTGCTATTTGCTACTTTAAGTAGCTTGAATGTTTTTTGTTGCATTATATGGGTGTAGTGCTCTGCACAGAGGGTCTGGGGCCTTAGCTGGAGGCTGGGTGCTACCCTAATGCAAGCAGTAAGATAAATAAGTAGTCTTCTGGGCTTTCTATGGTGTGTGTTACTGTAACACCAAATCAGCACATGCATGAACGGTTGTATGATTTCAATATCCTTTGAGAAGCAAACAGCATTTTTGGAAAAAAAAAAAACCAAACCCACCAAACCAACAACAAACCTGCAGCCAGGGCAAGATCAAAGCCGTATTTCTAAGTCCCTGCAGATTTGGGATACCTCATTGATTGTATGTAACTGAAGAATTCTCTAGGGTCTGATAATTGAAAGCACCCAGTGTGCTTAATATTTCTGTAGATGTTCCAACAAGCACAAAATCATTTCAACGACCCAATTTTATAGATGGTGTAAAAGAAACAGAAAGAGAGCTGTGTCAGTGTGAGATGAACACTAAAACTGACTGTATTCTTTAGTGTAGCCAGCAGCACAAAATAAGCAAATTAAAAATTGATTTTCTTTCAGTTAGTTACTATAAAAATTACTTGTTTTCAGAAAGCTCTTCCCCTTCATTTATCAGTCCAGTTTTTAATCTCTTAAATTAAATCTATAATTACTATGGATTCATAGTCTATAGAAGGATGATAGGGATACTTAATTTTTTTTGTCTTATCATTTTCTTATGGTAAGAGAGTAAACTGATCAAAACAAATATTCAGTACAAATGTAGCAAATACAAAACACTCAGCTATTTTCAAGATAATGAACAAATAAAAGAAACATGAACCAAAAAAAAAAAATTGTTCAGGAGGAAAAATGCCTCACTTTTTTGATTTACTTTTGTTAATCGCATTTCTATGGCAGGAGAAATTTTCTTAAGTGTCGAAGCTTTACTCACTCTGATTTGTTACTACTTATCAGTTTCAAATATTAATTTAATAATACTTTGCTCTTACATCAGGCCTGCAATTTATAATGTGCTTTACAGAATCTGATCTGATGCATTCCCTGAAGCAAGTAACCAAGTCCATCCAAATTGATTCTCCCGTTGATTTCTGAGCCTGTAAATTTGTGTGGATTGCAGCACTTAATTTGCTCCTTTGCTACTGGCTGTATTATAGTGAGTCTTCCTCTCTTCTTTCCCTACCTTTTTAATTTCTTCCCTGTTCTCCTTTACAGATGCACCGTCTCCCTTTATTCCGTTGTCTCTTTTCTTTGCTCTTTTCTTTTTTTTTCTTTTTTTTCCCCCCCTTCTGCTGCCTTCTGTCAGTCCAAGAATGTTTTCATCTCACACTCCTTTCTAATTTCTGCTTGATTTCCCCTGCTGCTCTTCTCTGTTTGTATTTGGTACAAAGCTGCAGGAGGTCATAAAAGATGCACACACAGAATTAAAGTGCTAGTATGCTTTGTTAGCACCTAGAAACTTACCTTCAGCCGTATTTATCACAGAACAAATTGTAAATGGGATAAGTAGTTAAAGCTGGAGGCAGAAACATGCGTTTCAGATACACTTGCTGTTAGACTGTTCCTTTTCACTAGGTAGCTACAGAGTGCCACCTATTGTCTCCAAAGCAGTGAGCTTTTAAAATAAGTTACCCTGAAATTACCTTTGCCTCAGTTGCTGTTTTCTGTAGACAACTACACATTTTTACTGAGCGCATTTACTGCAAGAAATCATCGTTCACATTTGAGTTCCTTTTCTTTCACTTCTTACTCTCCCATCACCATGTCATCCTTAAGTCTTTAATTTCATTAGCTCCTTTACAGCATTTATCTGCATTCTGTCTAAAGTCCCTTCATATGTGTGACAATTACATTCATAAAGAATTTTTATAGAGGCAAAGGAGTTTTTCCTAATGTTGCTTCCCAGATATTCAAGAAAAATCGGAGTGCCTGTTCTTAGATCTCCTTAACCATCATATTAAAAGAGATGACTATAAATTTTTATACCAGGTGAATAAGTATGTGACATCCTCATCTTTAGCTTTATCAAAACTAGCCTTTTCTTTGAGTGTGGCTAAAACATTGACAGATAACTCATTTCTGCATTACTCTTAAGAGAGGACCTTGTCAGTGGCTGGTATTGTAGTTTGTTGAGAAACTTCTTTCCTACTTTAACTTCATAGCATGTTACAAAGATTTATTATCATCATAAGGGTTTTTTCATTTTCATACTAAGTACGCTATGCAAGTGTGAACCATGATGTATTTCAAAAATCTTAGTCATTTATTATACTACGGTAAATTGGCATATACCTTCTGCTTCCTGTAGTTTTTGCAGTATAGTCGTAGCTGAAGGTTATTTCTATCATGGTGACAACAACATTTGTGTGTTCTTGAATCCACCTTTCAGATTCTGCAGGATACTCAGATATGAAAAAAATATGAAGATATGTTATGGTTGGTCAGTCTCTATAAAGCCAAATTTGAGTCATGGCCAAAATGACCTGATTATGCTAAAGAGCAGGAGCCAAAACCCATTGTGTTCTAATCACGGCTTCTGACATTGCCCCGTTATTGTTTGAGCTTCCTCTGAACATAATCATCCAAGAGCAGAATGTGAATTTTGCTGTCAAAAGGCCAAAATTACAAAACAGCACTGACAGCGTTTTAGGCATAAATCTGCTGACTTGATCAGAGACAGGGATTAATAACTGGGCCAACTTTTTGTTGAGCTGCACAGCTTACTATTCAGTGGATACCCAGTTGTATTGACCTAGTTTTGCCCATAGCACTGGCTTTCAGCTTTGTGATCCAAGCTGCCTGTCATATGTGGAAATACTCAGTTTCACTTTAAACAAGAGCTCTTCTGATTTCTCAACAGCAGAGCATGCAAACATATTTGTTTGACTTTACTGCCTCTTTTTCCTCGATACCCAGGTAAATAATGGCAGTACCTCAACTCTCGCAAAGTGTTTTTGATGCGTAGGACTCAAAGATGACAAGTGTCACCGTATCAGTTTGTGGATGAGGAAATTGAAGCTGGAAGAACAAATTACTTGCCAAAATCACTCAGCAGCGCATGGGCTAAGTGGGGGAAGGAATCCACGCTTCCAGCTCGCTGTCCTAGTTTTGCTCCAACCCCCAGGCCACCCTTCCTAATTAAAAACCTGTTTAGACTTCTTAGATCTGGATTACATTATGTCTAATCTGCACATATTTAAGAAGGTGCTAAAACTGTTGCTACAAGGCAAATCAACAGTAATGATCCAAAAGTAAAGAAAACCCCCTTTATTTTCTGACTGGTTGAAAATACTTCATGAATATACAGACTCAAGACAATATGTCTTTTTCTTACAGCTGTATTTTTAAAAGGTTGTTTTCTGACTATACAATGTTAAGAAAAAGTCATAAGATGGAGGACCATATGGAGTAGGACTAATACTTTCATTAAATGTTACAATCACCTTTAAAAATACTATAAAAAAATTGCTTTAGTTTTTTCTTTCAAAAATATTAAGCTTCGGTTTCAGAAAGTTGAGATGTTATTTAAAGATCATGATCAAGCTGGGGATACTGTTTGAACATAGCACATCACAAAGATGAACAAATGCCTACTGATTTTGCAATTATCAGGTAAAGGTTAAGTCCCCATATATACAGCAAAAAGACTTGACTTGCATCAAATAAGACATCCCTCAATGCATCACTTCTCTCTCTCCCTTTTTTTTTTTTTATCTTTAAAAACAAAATGGAAATGAAAAAGCCATTCACATGATGTAGAACTGTTATATAGTGCACAGGAAATATTGGATCTTTTTTACAGGAAGCATTCTGGAGCATGTTTCTGTAGATGGGGGGGGTGTTTACAATTGTCACTTTGCTGGTAACTTTTATTTGTAAAAATTGAGAATTAGAAGAACATCCTATTTCTCTGTGAGGAGTCACAGACACATAAATGTGTGTGTTTGTGAGTATTTGCAGGGCTGGGCTTAAGATTTACACATATTAATATACCAGCATTTACACTTTTTCTGAAAAGTAAATTCTTAGAGGGATTTGAAAAGGGGTAAGTACCAATAAATAGGGGGGGTGTGTATGTATATATGGTTGTGTGTGCTTGTGTATCCAAGGGAGAGACAGATCTGAGGCCTCGCATGTAGAGTAGAGATTGGGAAATGGAATACCTGGGACACTTTCTCAAGGATGCTACCTTGATTGCTTAGGAAGGTCACCTCTTTCTGGACATAAGTTTTCCCATCAGTAAAATGCATGTTATTATGTTTACATCCTTTGGGGCATATTTTCAATTTACAGACGGAAAGTGCTGTATGAGATGTAGCTGTTATTATTTATTGATTTCCATCGTAATGAACAACTTTTTAAACCAGTAAGACAAAAACAGATAACCCTCAGCCTGGTTCAGTGATGAAGCTGCTGTGTGACTTTACAATTTCAAGCTCCTGATAATGTCAAACCAGAGTTTTTCATGAGATTCGGCTCTATTAACTTGATCATACAAATGTTATTTGCTCCAAATCTGTCAGGATCAAACACACTTGCCACTGCTTTGCCTAGAGTTTTAAATTTTTTCTTTGTTCATTTGTTTAAAAAGCAAGACTAGAACTTAAAATAAAAAAGGTACCATGTAAAGATTGATTCTACTTGTATATATAGTATTGCTATAAATTAGATTATAAAATGCCTTCAGTGTTTTGGTTTTTCTTTTAATAAATCCATCACTTAACTTAGTGAAGATGACTCCAGTAGGCTGAAATTAATAGAGGTGTTTGGATTCAACCATGAGGAAAAAAAAATAATGCTGGTTAATTCCTACCTTATCTGTTCTCCAATTAACAGATTTATCTTATTTGTTAAATGGATTCTTTAGGCGATAAGAGGCCATTGTGTCTTAAGCAAAATATAGTATGCTTAAGATGCCTTGAAAAATGCATACACACTAAGAGTTTTGAATGGATAAACATTATCATTTTGTTTCTATACAGAGAGCCTCGAAAAATCATCCTGCACAAGGGCTCCACAGGACTTGGTTTTAACATTGTGGGAGGAGAAGATGGGGAAGGCATTTTCGTGTCTTTCATCCTAGCAGGCGGGCCTGCCGATCTCAGCGGAGAACTGCAGAGAGGAGATCAAATTTTGTCTGTAAGTATTTGTGTTGGGCTTTGCTGGCCAACTACTTAATCTTGTTCTTTGTCTATACTGCAAGGGACACACAAAGAAGTCTTTTTGGTTTCCATGTTGTGAAATCCAAGCTGGAAACGGTTTATCATTGAATATTTTGTTTCTTTCCTCTTGGTTTTTATTGCATTTGTTAATGGTGTTACCTGCACTTAGCTCAGAGACCTTTCCCTGCTTAATGCTATCTACAGTATGGCAACACCACAGTGCAGACCTCATCATCTCCCAGTTTAGCCCATCATCCAATTCCATTTTGCCCAAAATGCACTACTGAGTCCAAAGCTATTTCTCAATTTCAGCTTTTCTTTGAGGAGAAAAAGCAGTAGGATGAAATCATCTGGACTGGGGGTGCCATCTAGTGTGCACTAAACTGCTTAGCAAACGGCCCAATACAAGAAGGAGATTAATTAGGTTATGTTAATTATCTCTGTGCCTCTAATGAATTTGATGATCACTCTGAAACTCATTTTCAAATTTTAGAGGATAAAAGGCTTTGTAGCCTGAGGTTATATTTTGCATACTTAGTCTCAAAAACATGTTTTTAATTTTTCTTTCGTGTATGTATTGACAGCACGCATTTAAAACACAGGCTCTGTCAAGTAATTGAACATCTGAATGAAACAATCTGAATGTAAAGGATTTTGAATGACAATGAAAACCTTGAAAATGTAGTTAAATAGCCATTCACATTATGCCACCTTAGAGAAAAAAGAAACTATCCCAAATTGATACAGTTGTGGCTGTTTCATTCGAAGTACATAAATAGCCTTAAGGCAAAGAACTGAAACACAGGAATTCTTCATCCCAGATGAGTGATGGACCCACCAGGCTGCAGTGTCACTCTCACTCCTGCTGTCGTGCTTTCTGTCCCTGTGAATCTTGCATCCTTGGCTGCACTTTGGTTAGCGTTGGGGTAGAAGATGGCTTTAGCCTGGATGGTTTGTGGCATGGTTATGTGGCACTTTCCTGGTCAATGTTTAAATCCCTTCATGAGGAAGCCGGAACTGGTTTTCCTACATTGCTAAGGAGTGTCTTGGCCACTGGCCTATTCTATGAAAAGTGAATTTACCTTCCACCTGTCAAAGTTCTGGTGTGAAAAGGTGGCTGGGGCTGCTTTGTGATATATGTGGAAAATCTGGCGAGTTAGCACCAAAGGGATTCAGTAACCTGAAGTTGTGAGGACCGTAATAGTTTGTTTTATCTAGACCTGTTCCTTCAAAATGCTTTAAGAAAATTGAGAATGGGCAAGTAAAAGATGTTTAGGTGTCTTAGAGAGATCTCTAAGTAGAAAGTTCATAGGAAACTGCAAGAAAACCAAAACAGACTCTTGTAAGGTTATCAACCTGAAGAGATAAGGAAGGGAAACAAGAACAGAGACAAGAAACCCGAAGAGTAGAAATAGAAATTTCTTCAAGACAATTATGCAATTTATTTTTCTTTGGCTAGATGCGGCAAAATAAGGCTGACCGAAAGAGCACTATGAGATCAAAGCCTTTCACAATACATAGAATTCAGAAATCCAGCAGCTCAGATGCAAATTTAAAAGTCCATTTTCCTTTATTTTTAAGCAAGGGTGTATTTAGCACTGTAGGATACTGCCACAGTTAAATTTTTAACCCTGATTTTTGTCTGTTTCATAACAATGTTTTCCATAAGTTCTAATTAAAGTTACCAGTGTTGCTGCAGCATTTACTTGTCATGCAAGAGTAGTTTATTTGTTCATTGAGCAGAGAGGGATGGAAATTATTACTAAATTAAACTGCATGCATATCCCCAGGCAATCACCAAGTCAGGCACTGCTGGCTTATTTAGTCACAAATAACTATTATGAATCCATTTTTCCATATTCAAACGAAACAAATTTCTTGCACAGGCTACTTTTAGAGCTGATTAATCTTAGACTATTGTCTGGTGAAGGGTCCCAGACACCTTAATCTTATAAAGGCTGCACAAAGTAGGTCTGTTTCTCTCTGTTTATTCTTTCTTGTCTCGTCCCTCAGAAACACTTACTTCCCTACTGAAATAGTTTTCCCATTTGTTTCTCAAAACATGACAAATCTGACTTACCAAGAACAAATAGTACCCTCAAAGCTAGTATTTCTAATTAACTCAGGCTTGGTTAAATTTCTTTGGGACAGGAAGCATAGTAAGTGATTTAAACTTTGGAGATGTGGATTTAATTCTCTGATTTTGCTGTTGTGACCTTAGACGAGGTGCTTTATTTTTTTTAAGCCTCCATCTTCTGCATGGAGGAGGAGGTTCACAGCAATTTCTTAATTCATGCCTGTGCTGTGAATATGGCAAAGTGTTGACTGGTTGAGAGAGGTGTATACTCACCTTCGGGAAGGTACCTATAAAAATACCTTAAATAGACTGCAAATCCATGAGTTAGACCCGACAAAGGTAGGAAGATGCATTTCCTTTGAGTGACACACTGGATGTATATATAGTCCCAGAGTCAGCCCACAAGGCTTGGACAAATCCCATAACCCCTCTGCCTCTCTGCCTGCCTGCTCGCTGGTATGTGCTAGGGAAGGGTCCAAGCCTAAAGCCCTCAGGGGGCTCTATGAAAGATTATGCCGCAGCCTTGGCTCTATGGACGAGTGAAATTTGAGTTTATTTTTCCCAAATGCCACCAGATGGCATCACAGGGTAAGTAGTGATCTGCCTTTGGAACCTGGCTAAAACCTTAGGAAAAGCAGTGATAGCCGTATTTTTCTGTTTTCAGTTCATTGACTGGAAATGTTTAAAACTTATCTCAGAAAGCAGGCTGATATTCCCAACGCTTCTGTGCAGAGGGACAAAATGAATCATATCTGAGCCTTGAAGGCAAATTGAAGAATAATGGAAAACGTTCTGTTTCAAATGGTAAAACTTTTCAAATAGCAAAAAAAATCACTATAGTATCAGATTCACAGTAAGCTGGCTTTTTCCCCCTAAAAGGTAGGATTTTTTTTAATGCTCATTTCTTCTTGCTATAATTCATCATGCTCTTGTGAATTTCCACCAAACTAAACATTTTCCTTCTCACTTCTGAATGTCTTCAAAATGTAGTAATGCGTACATCACCAGTGTACATTCATCACTATAACAGAATATATCCCTCCCTGTAGTATTGTCCTCTTATTAAGTAGAATGTAAATATTATCAAGTAGCATTTTGAATACTAACTGACATCAAGACTTGATTTGCTAGGCACTGTGTACACACATTAACTTGTGTCTCAGACGTGTATAACCCAAACAAAACAGCTCAGAATATCAATGGAAGTATTATTTCAATTTTAGAGCAGTGGAAATGAGGTGCTGTTGTGTCAATTGATTTGTTTAAAATCACGCGAGAAGTCTGGGCCAAGTCTAGTCTCAGAGGCTGTTTGAACTCTGACCTAACCCCAAGTTCTCCATCTGTTAGGAAAATGCAGGCTCTGGTACAAATAAAATGTAATGTTCCTTGATGCCATCCTTGCAGTTTAAAATTTCACTTCCAATGCTAAAGGATATATTGGCTACTAAAATAGCAATGGGAACCCAGTGTTGCGTAGCGAAAATCACCTGCATGAGAACAAATTATTTCCAAGAGCCATACGCGTAAAATGGCCACACAGTGCATACACCCTTGCTGACAGAAAGCAGTACAAACTTCAGGAAAGAGGTACAAAGTGAATACATTGTAATTCTTAGGGGAAATTCCTGGGGAGGCAGGAGGAGGAATATGGTCCTATTCAAACAAAAATTGGTACACCGTTTTTTGCTTTACAATCTCAAATCAAAATGATGATAAAACACACCTACTTATTTTAGGTGTCTTAACCTGTATGCTTCAAAACACTTTCAGTGTCAAGTGGGCAAATTTATCTATAGGTACAGTACCTAAAGCACAGAGAGTTAGTTTACACAGCAAGATGCAGATTTACAATTTACACGCAAATAATTAGTGCATGTTGCTCCTTGAATTCCTATGATGACATTGTTTTTCAAACAGTTTTATAATTTTCCATAAGACTGCATCAAGTTAAAAATGTGTATAAAAGAGAGAATTAAGGTGAATTAATAGCACAGGGAGGTAACAGCAAGTATTAGCAATTGAATCTTAACCTTTGAAATTACTGAATTTTGTGTCTTTGGAAAAGACTAAACCTGAGAATAAGATACTTCAATTCAGACATCTACACGCTTGCTGGGTGTCTGGTTGCTCTTAAAGCCAATGGAGGCTAGAGAATGATTCATCTGGCCAACTATGAGTTGTGTAGAGCGAGTTGAATCTCGCTGTAGGCTTTATTGCCTGTATTGATTCGGTATCCATTGACTTTAAGCTTAAACACTTACCACATGCACACATGTCTATATTTAGGTGTCTTAAACTGAATCTCACATTTCATGTGTGTTTGCCCTTATAATAGATGGTTTTTTCAACTAACATCGTGCTTGCTTCATCACAAAGAAAAGTAAAGTAAAATTGTGGACCATGAAAGCAGTAACAGTTTTATTTCTTTCTCCCATAGAAATACTTTAGTACTTTGTGGTTCACAACAGTAGGATGAAGCGTGGCTGGTAGCCTGAAAGTAGATTCAAGGGAAAAAGGAGATTGCTTGCTCAGGAGCAAGATTGCTGCTCCCAAGCAATGCATCCCGCAGATTACCTTAAGGAAATAAAACAAGTTTCCTGAAGGGTAATTGCTCAACAGCAACAGGAAAAATACCAGAAAAAGAACAGGCTGCACTGTGAAGGTGCAGGTAGTCCTCTTGTAATGCTTCCATTTTCCCTACTGTCTAACCTGAATCAGATGAATGAAGTTAACCAAATTCTGTATGATTTTCCTCTTGATCTGGCATAGTACCAGGATGTATTCGTATATGGGGAAAGACAGTATCTTTTTTCCCCTGCTACTTTCTGAGAATCAAATAACTATGCATTGGGAAAGGGCTACCAGAGATATTCTGTGGGGTTTTCTGTCATTGGTTCATG